TACCTTGGGCAAATTCAAGAGAAGGTTGGACGATCACCTGTCTGGGGTCCTGTGAACTGTGGCACGGGGTCAAGCTAGATGATCTGTTCAGGTCCCTCCTGACCCTAGCTACTATGAAACTATAATAACAACATGTTTATTCTGTCTGTCCAGAGCACTCTGGTTGTTCAGTAAGCATTGATTGGCTGCCGAGGCAACCAATCAGAGTGCTCTGGACAGACAGACTAAGCCTCTTATTATTAGAGATTGCTATCCTGTTGCCCCTTACTTTCCTTTTATCTAAATTAAACCCACATAGTTCCTTCATCCTTTCCTCATGTGGCTAGGATTCTGGTCTCTTTGGCTCACAGAGTCATCTAGTTATGTCCTACTTTGTAACTGGTTCCAGCAGATCCTATTTCCACTGCCAGTGATGTGTACTCTCTTGGGCACATTCTTCCAGACCATGAAGTCTCATAGAGAATTCATCCAGACGGAATATCACTCCTGTGGATGACTGGAAGACCCAGCAGCTGCAGCACCTTCGCTGCTCTTATGCTCAAACCTAGCAGGCACCATCAGGTGCATTTGGTATTGCACAGTAGTGTAGAGTGAGACAAGAGTACAATTTTTGCCAAGGACAGTGGTGTAAATCCTAATCTCTGCCAAAGCTGCCATGTGCCTGTCAGTGCCTACATATACCATGCAGGGCCTCCTGGCTGAATGTCTCTTTTGAAAGACTTCTGCATAGTAGAGTAGAAAGAAGTCAATGTACTTAGCTCTAAAGAATGAAGGGCTGATTCCATCCAGCTGGGATTTGATTCTGAGTCTCCAAGAAGCCAAGTTTTTTCCAGCCCAAGGCATGGACTATTTATAGGACCACTAGTACCGGTATATTCCTGTAGATACAAAGCAAACCAACAGGTCAATATCCTCTCCCTGCAACTTATTTTCTCTGATGATCCATGTGTTTTGAGTTTTTACAGGGCCCCCTTAGGGGCATATAAGTGTCTCAGAAAGTATTTGCAGCAGTGATCCAAACAAGTGGGATTCCAGAGGCCATCATACTTGTAGTTGTGAACAAACACAACATGCTGTGGTGTCAAAACAGGAAGTGCTGCTCAGCCCCAATAATGACTGCTGCCATTGTGTATGGCCCATTAAACAAGGGCTAATGAATAGGAAAGGCCATAGTATAAAACTTGCATGCTGGGATAACCAACCAGACAGAGGTTTGTTGTTCCCTTGACCTCTCTATGCAACATGGGGAGAGATGGGAGAGGTGCTGACCACACAGAGTAGTTTATTCTTTAAACATATGTTTTAAGACACACATGAAATCTCTATTTGTTCTGGACATAAGGAGCAGTGAGTGTTTGTCAATGCTATGCCTCAGTTTCATAGTTTCATGGTAGGTAGGGTCGGAAGGGACCTGAGCAGATCAAGTCCGACCCCCTGCCTTGGGCAGGAAAGAATGCTGGGGTCAAATGACCCTGGCTAGTTGATTATCTAGCCTCCTTTTGAAGACCCCCCAGGGTAGGAGTGAGCACCACTTCCCTGGAAATTGGTTCCAGCTCCTAGCCACCCTGACAGTGAAGTAGTGCCTCCTGATATCTAGCCTGAATCTACTCTCCATCAACTTATGGCCGTTATTCCTTGTTACTCCCAGTAGTGCTCGGGGGAATAGGGACTCTCCCATTGCCTGCTGGTCCCCCTCGGTCAGTTTATAGACAGCCACCAGATCCCCTTTCAACCTTCTCTTGTGGAGGCTGAACAGGTTCAGGTCCCATAGCCTCCCCTCATAGGGCCTGCCATGCTGACCCCTGATCATGTGAGTGGCCCTCCTCTGGACCCTCTCAATGCTGTTCACATCCCTCCTGAAGTGCGGCACCCAGAACTGGACACAGTACTCCAACTACGGCCTGACCAGTGTTGGATAGAGGGGGAGGATCACCTCCTTGGACCTGCCCGTGATACATCTATGGATGCATGGCAAAGTGCGGTTAGCGTTACTGACCTCATCCTCACATTGTTGGCCCATGTTCATTTTGGCATCAATAATGACTCCAAGATCCTTTTCTGCCTCTGTGCTGATAAGAAAGGAGTCCCCCAGCCTGTAGGTATGCTGCTGGTTCTTCCTCCCCAGATACAAGAATTTGCACTTGTCAGTATTGAAACCCATCCTGTTCTCATCCGCCCACCCCTGTAACCTGTCCAGATCTAATTGCAGCCTGTCCCTGATGTTGTACAAAATCAGCCATACTAAGCAGCCTCTGGGCTAACACCTGATTAGTGTGAGACTGGTGATAGTTCCACTAACTCCCCTAAAACTTTTGCTGTAGGCCAGGGCTGTCCAACTGGTGGTTCATAGGCTGCAGGCAGCTCACAAACTCTTGCTCAAGTGCCGCTCCCACCATTTCTGGTGCTGCTGCTGCTGCTACAGCAGGAAGCTGGGCTCCCATTCCCTCCTCCTGCCCCTGCTCCTGTCCCTGCCACTGGGGGTGGGATGGGGTAGCCCATAGGGCTCAGGAGGCCTTAGAACCTGTGCAATGTGTAGCTGCAACCACTCAGAAGTTGGACAGTCCTGCTGTAGGTTACTAGTGTCATGTATAATAACTGAATGCAGATAACATCTATGATAAGGCAGATCTGCTGCATATGATCACCAGGTGTACAGCCCAGTCTTCTAGAAGCCAATTGGTGCCATGGGTTATAGTGGGAAGCAATGTGGCAGCACTGAATGTTCAAACTGGTAGTGCCCACAAACATGGTGGGCACAACAATCCTAGTATTCACTTCCCTCTCCTCAGCACCCCTGTCCATGAAGTATGTCTTGCTTCATTCTGTGAGTGAGCATAGCAGGTAAGGACACTGACTTTGACAAGAGTTCTGCAGCACTCGGATACTAAAGTGATAAGCAATACAGAATTGCCTTATAAAAAGAAACACATGGCACTTCAGAGATCTTAATGGGTGTATCTACATGTGTACTTGACTGTGGAGTTGACTAATTAGCTCTACAATAAAGCATCACAGTCTACACGTGTGCTGGTATTAGGGTGCAGTAAATTAATTAACTGTGCCATAGGATAGTACTGTCCCCAGCAGTCAGGAACAGTACTTTCCTACGGCAGAGTAATTTACTCCACTGAAACACATGTAGATGGTGACAGAGGCTGGCTGGAGCATGAGGGTGCTACATTGCAGGGGCTGCCTACCTCCACACTCTACACCCTTGCATTGGTGGCACATAGGGGGTGCACGTGGACACCCTGAGCTTGACGCTGCATCCCCTGCAAAAAGGTGGCAACACTGCCAGCGGCGTCTGTGGGCGGTCACCGCTCGCCACCCCCCACCGCCGGCGGTATCTGCAGGCAGTCCCCAATCACTGCTGGCTGCCGCCACCCCTACTGCCAGCGGTGTCTGCAGGTGGTCGCCAACCACCAGTTGGTGCTTGCCACACTCCCCCTTCCCCCCTGACAGTGCTGCAGCTGCCTGAGGGAGCTTACAGATCACCACTGCCACCATGCTCTCACCGCCAACAGCAATGCTGCCACCTGCGGGAGCTTGCCATGCCCCCCCCAGCCTCCGGGGGCATGCAGCGTTCATGCACCTTTGTGCCCCAGCCAGCCTCTCTGCTGCCCAACACCACCATTACCTGAAGTTCAGGCCTGGCCCTCCGCAAGCCCAGGATTGCTCCACCCTGGCTCAAAGTGCTGCAGTCCTGGGTGCACATGTAAATGCTGTGCTCAGGAGCAATTTTCTCTGACTCAGATTGCACTGAAGTTTATCATGTTGCATGTGTAACCCTGGATGCAACACTACCAGCACCTCCACCTAAATAGTGGGATCCTGGGGTACCTGGTGGCCAGTGATCCTGCCCAGCTACCTGGGTAGCTGCTGCAGGGTCCCCAAGCAGAGAGCCTCCCCTTACAATCAAACAACCTTGCTGACCATTATAAAACTATTTACAGGGTTTAATTATTTACAAGGTAACATATAACCAATGTAGTAGAACAGGGGTCAGCAACCCCTGGCACACGTGCCGAGCATGGCACGTGAGGCCATTTTGCTTGGCACACCGCAGCCAGCCCCAGCTCTGGGTAGCTGCTGCCAGCGAGGAAGCCCAGGCTGCTCACAGCAGGGCTTGCAATGAGCTGGGCTTCATGCTGGCAGCGACTGCAGAGGCACCTTGGGGCGGGCTGCGCTGCCCTGCTGTCCGCTCTGGGGTGCGCATGCAGTTGCCACCAGCATGGAGCTGATGCCGGAGCTGTGGAACCTGGCGCAGCTGTTTGCAGCCTGCCTGCTGCTTGCTGTCGCTGCCCAGAGCCCGGGCTCTTCGCACTGTCCCTCTGCAGGGCAGCCCTTCCTATCCCTTCAGGTGGTTCCATTTTTAATGCTGCTACACATGAAGTGCGCATGTAGATACACCCAGAAATTTTACTTTGCTACTTCAGTCAAGCATAGAAAACAGCAATGGCTAAAAAATGTATAGCCTTTATGCCAGCATGTTGTACTGTTGTGTACCCATCCAGGTCACATTTGAGTACCTAAGTCTGCCTTTATTTCTGGAGGCTGCCATCTTGTACATCAGAATTTAAATAATCTAAATCTTTAACCTCTGTGGTTAGGTATTGAGTAAAGGTAATGAGTAAAATGGGAATCATGTAAATAACTAAGGCCATGGAATGTGCCTATGAGTACCTGAATGATCATTTAGGGACGTGGGTACTACCCCATTCAGCTGACTCAACACTGAAGCCTAATGATGGCAGTTTACATACTTCATTGCTGATCCAAGCATGTACAAGAGAAGGATCTGTTGTAAACAAGTCAGTCTCCTGGGAGCAGAATCTTGCATAGGTGTTTTGAAAGAGACAGAACTTGGGAAAGCACCATGCCTTTTTTCTCTCAAGTTTGGTCCCTACTCTGGACTAGAACTAGAGAACTAGAGTGGGGAAGTTTGTGTGTTATTGGCTGTGGATTATTAGTGAGAAAACCTCTTGTTTTTGCCTTTTTAGGATGCTGCTTTGGATGATGTAGTGCTGAGGAAAAAAAGGCAGAAAGATGTTGAACTGGATAAGAAAATCCTGGCTTTACGGAAAAAGAATGAAGCTCTTATACGAAGATACCAGGTAAGTCTGCCCTGATTCTATTTTCTTCAGCTCCTTTCTGGAACCTTTTCTACTAACAGTTTATGACTACTAGTGTTTCTGCATCCTGTTATTCTATCAGTATGATGTGGAACCAAGTTAGATCAGTGTCTTTATGCAGAAAAGTTGGATAAAATTCTGCCTTTGGGTTTTATCTGTTGAACTGCAAGTGATATCAGGGGGATTTGTACATAAAATTCACTGTCAGAATGAGTTCCCATGAGTTTACAAAAGAAAGATTCAGAAATGTGGGTGAGGGCTTTAGATCAGTCTCAGCTAGTGTGAATGCCCCATCTGTGCTGACAGCAGAGGTGCTATGCCAATTTATAGCAAGAAGGTAATATATCTTCATTACCAGGCTGTCCTCTTGCAGGCCTCGCATATTCTCTGCTGTCTGTAGTTTTCAGTTGCACAGAGATGTACCTCCTCATGCAACTTTTAAAACATTTTCTTCTTTCTCAGTCAGTGTCACCCTCACACATTTTTAGCTCTCCCCCACAACCACCCATTTTTATATAACATGTGCTCCTCACTTTTCCAATTCAGGGGCTTTCCTATGGCTTCACAATCCTCTATGGCTCCTATTGGGTTCTGTCTTTTTGTTCTTAATCTTTAGGAGTGCCCAATATCTTTTGAACTGCCCCAGTATATTTTCCAGTGGTTCCTCACAGGGGGTTCCTGATTTTTTAATTGTTGCTAGAATAGTCAGGAGGGAGGCTAACTTCATATTTTGCTGCCTTCTTGCATCCTTTCTTATACGTAAGACGATCCAATTATTTACGCAGAGCACTAATGTGTTAGGCAGAGGTGCCAGGAAAGGAAAGAAGTTTAAACCCAGGTCAGAATTAGATTTCCCAGCTCAAGAGGATTCTTTCCCAGCACAAGAGGAGGTCAGCAGCCAAGGACCAAATATACCAGTTAGGAATTTGAACCTGAACCCAAATCCAAAATTCCACACTTTGGGGAGGGTGTCATTTGGATCCACATCTGAATGATGCAGACCAAGCCACGTGCTATATTTCTATTGAACAAACAGACCCCTCTAAAATGCCTGCATGGACTTCCCATCTGCAGTCCTCCCTCAGAGCCAGGTCTCAGAGCCCAGGTTCCAGGGTCCATTGTCCATCAGCCCTCTGTTTGGTTCACATGCTTTCATTCCCTGGTTCAGGATTCTCTGAAGCCTGGACCCATCTGAGGTCTCTAATCCATTCTCCTCTCTACCTGGTAACTGAAGAAACCTAAACAAGCTATCCTGTGCTCCATGTGGCAAACCCTCTCCCAGGATCTCTCTTCTCTGGTACTCTTTCCTGAAAAGCAGGCTCCTTGTCATGTGTACTTCAAAGTACTGGGGCCTACAACAGGTGCTTGGAGGTACATATGCACCAAGGACCAGCGTGCTCTTACAACTTCCTTGGAGAAGAACCTGTGCTGAGGGCACATTGACAAAAGACACACATTGACTTCACTGTTCTCTCTCCCCCTCTTACTTCCTTCCTTAATGCTGAGGTGGGCCTATGTAATATGAATATGAACCATGTCTCTAATAACATGAGGTTCTGGAAGCAGGGAAACTACTTAGCCTGTGGTGTCCTGGTTTATTATGGTGACATCCCCACCCCCAACCATATACGTATGCAAAGAGCTGATGGTCCTGCAATGTGTGTGAAAAGGTGTCATTTACCATAGGCCTCTAAGAGTTTGCTGACATGGGGTATGGGCTTGCCTGTTTTAGGAAATAGAAGAGGACCGAAAGCGAGCAGAGCAGGAAGGAATGGCTGTCACCTCCAGGAGGACCAAGCAGGATGGCCTTACTATAACCATCACCAAGACTCACAATGTAAGCTCTACCTCCCATTGGGTATAAGTTTATGCCTTCTGAAAGGATCAAGTCCTAACTAACCTCAAGATGCCAGCTCTGGAGTAGATAGCATGTGTAACAGGACAACCACAATACAGAGCTTCAGACCCTAGCCACTCCCAGATGACTTAAAAGTCCTGAATAGATTCAAGCACGGGCCTACATAAGCCCGACCATACAAAATATGTTCCCAGGCATACACAGGAGGCATGTTGGTATGTGCACCAATGAGAGTAGGAGTATGTGAAAAGAGCTTCCCATGGACACCCTGCCATGTATGAGCTCCCAGGCAAAGGTGCAATCTTAGCTGCAAAAAAAGAGCAAGGATAGACTTGAGTTAGAAGCTCTATAGGCACATCAAGAGAGAAACTTAACTGCAAAACATGCTCAGGAAACAAAAGCCAGATTCAAAACAGGGCCTTCCTTCCCCTTCCTTTAAACAAGGTTTAGCCTTAGAACAAACAAAGCAAATGGCCTTTGGGGGTTCTCTGCAAATTCTGCAACCCAGGGGCTGACCTAGTTTTTCTTTATAGAGGGGATTAAACAAATCATCAACAGACACACCCCTCCCATTCACCAGCAGCAGAATCAGAGGGGAGGCAATTCATGGTCTGATCCACCCCTGGCAGCAGCTTAGGGCCCAGAGATCACAAGGTCAGTCCTGCTGTAAACTGCATGAAGTCCTGTGTCAAAGTGAATGCAATGCCAGCAAAGCTAATGGAGTAAGTAGTCCAAACTGTACCATTGTTCCTCTTCTCTGATGTTGGATTTTTCACACAATTACTTCATTAGGCCCATTTGTAGAATGCATTGCCTTCTTTTCAGCAACACACTGGCCCTTGCTTGACTGCAGATGTGCACTGTTGCACACATTTCTCTCTCTTACAGGACCTGAAAGATGCTATTAACCAGACTGAACACTATGGACTAGATTGCCCAGCCCTTTTGATGGTGAGCACTTATTTGCGTGATAGTCCCACTGGTTTCAGCAGGCAATGACCACCATAACTTAGGGCTGCACAATCTAACCTTTAGAATTTTTAAAATACCTATAGTGATACTTGTTTTCTAGGCCTTTGACATTTGAGTCAGAAATGTCAGATTTGTAAGTGCAATGGATTTTCCAGACCTACTTAGATTTGTGGGTTTCGCTGCTCACCAGACAATGTGCCTGTTGTTTCATTCTGTGGAAGAAGGCATAGTACTGTAACATGAGCAAAAACAGTCCTTTGAAGCAAATCCTGACTTTTCTGTACTTGCTAGCTCCCTATGGTTGTTCGTAAAATGGAACCCTCTCCCCCCCAGATCAAACTAGAAACACCTCTTTGCTAACTAGATGGGTTTATTTTTCAGGAGAAAAGGGTGGTGAGTGAGAAATGGGGAAGCAGCTTCCCAGCAAGCCCAGGGTTTGGAATTGGCAGCGAGGAAGATGATGAAGAGGAGGAAGCAGATCATATGTTTACATTCAGGATGGGGAAGAGGATGCAATTGGCTGTTACTATGGATAACAAGGCTAAGGTGAGTCTTGTAAATGATGATGTGCCATGTAGCAGGCTCAGGTATTCACCCTCCCCAGAGTCTAGTGCCCCCGTGTCCATGTTAACGGACCTCCTCCACCTGCAATCTCATCTGCCACAACTCTCCACTTGCTGGTAAATGTGTGTCACCCCATGGGTATACACCCTCTTGAAGAGGACCTTAGTTGCCTTAGGGGCTAGACTTGTGACCTCCAGCCATCCCCATAGTTATGCCTATGCCTTGCAGATGACTCTCAGTGGTCCCTTTGTCACAGACCTCTAAGTCCAAATCAACCCTGGGCCCTCAGGCCCCCCAGCCACTTGCCTGGTTTCAGGCTTTATCTGGCTGAGACCCTTCAGGCCACATCCACTACCTAAAAGCTTCCTGGGTCCCAGCCTGAGTAGTAAAAAATCCCTCTCAGGCCCCTGCCCATGGCCTCCCTTTCCCCTACAGCCATCATCCAGTCCTTTGGTATTAAACACTATCAAAACATAAACACAAGCAACTGCTTTCCAAAAAACGTCATCTAAGCTCCCCTTGGTTTTCTCCTTACAACCCTAGGGGACAGCTAAGGCATTGGCCAACCTGTCTCCTGAAGCCCTCTCCTTCAGGAGACCCATTCCCTGCTGCCTGCAGGGTCAGACTACGCTGAGCTCCCAGACCTTGTTTTATGTGCTCCAGAGCTCCTCCCCTTCCTATCAGCTGGCTTACCAGCCACACACAGGGGTTTCTTCTCTGTTTCATAATCAGCCTGCCCCTGTCTGCTGCAGCTTAGTTCAGCTGCCTCTATTTGACCTAATGAGATTGTGCTGTTTCTGTCTGGCATCTTCCCAGGGTCCTTAGCAGACCCTAGCCTCTGGGTCTGTTTTCTTGTTGGGGCTGGGTGTTGTAGCTGTTAGCCCCCGTGGGCTACAAAAGTCCTCCTCCCCTTTTGATTGCAGATAAGAGGTTGGGGTTCCCTGTTATATGCCACCAAGGTTGGCACATTGGTCAATTTTCTGTCTCCAACTGAGGCTCTGTTCATTGTCTTCTTTCAGTTACTTCCTTGGCATTGCAATCAAGTTCAGGATTAATATAAAAGACTCCTTCTGTTACATATGCTCCTGTGATTGGTAGTCTGGATTCTTTCTGTTAAAGACATCCCATTTCCAAGCCCAGTAATGCTGGGAAGTACTTTCCCCTTCTTATACTCACGTCTTACACTTACATCTTTCTTACTGATAAGAAAACATCATTATTAGTCCATTACAGCTAAGAGAGCTTGAAAAGATGCTACCTGCAGTAACTTGAAACTGAAGATGGTGCTTCACAGAGGATGACTTTTAAAATGTATCAAACAGACTCAGGCTTCATCAGCACTAGTTTGAACTGGAAAAGGGCCTGAACTAAAACTCCATATGTGAGTCTGGAGTCCATTTTAGGAAAGCTTTGAAGCTAGATCTAGAATTGACAGTGTTATAGTTAGAATCCAGCCCAGTGTAGCAAAAACCAGAAACTGGTGCATTTAGTGGCTCTCTGTGTAAAACTTATTATTTATATGTATGACTATACCCTATTTATTAGGGCTGAGCAAAGCTTCGGTAGCCAATTCAATTCGGAGGAGATTCAGCTTGATTTGGTGACTGAATCTAATCAGGAGACCAATTAAAAGCTCCTAATCGATTTGAAGCATCTGAATCAATTTGGAAAAAGATTCAGAAAAGATTTAGCAATTTGGCTATAGACTATACTGGCAGATGACACAACTGCCTCCAGCCGGTAAATCTGTTGGGGAGGGGGGAGAGAAGGGGTGTGGTGGGTGGGGATTGAGACTGGGGCTGGGACAAGCTGCCCAGCCAGGGCAGGGGGTGCACATTACTTGGGGAGGGGGGCGGCAGATGTGGGCATGGCAGTATTCGGAGTTGGGGCTCTGTCCTGCTGCGCCCTGCCGCACCTGCATCCTGCACCCTGCTGTGCTGGCTGGCAAATGGCAGCAGGTCAGAGCCCCTGCTCCCAGTGCTGATGTGGGTGCGGCAATGCTGGGAGCAGGGGCTCTGCCATGCTGCCGCTTGCCCCCTTTTGTCCAAAGCGAGCTGCGCCTGCAGCGTGCGCCCCCGCCCGCCCCGTGCAGGCAAGCGGTTCCAAGTGCTGCTGCACCCGCAGCAGCACTGTGAGTGGGGACTCTGCACTGCTGCCACTTGCCAGCCAGCATGGTGGGGCACGGGATGCGGGCGCAGCAGCCCTGGGAGGAGGAGCTATGCCATGCTGCCACTTGCCCCCTTCCACCCAGAGCGAGCCACACCTGCATCCTGCCCCCCTCCTCCCACCCCAGCTGAGCAAGTGGCAGCAGGGCAGAGCCCCTGCTCCAATACTGCTGTGCCCGCATCCCACACCCCCCCCGGCCTCCCTCCTCGAGTAACGTGTCCCCCCTGCCCCGGCTGGGCAGCTTGTCCCAGCACCAGCCTATCTCTAATCCCTCTGTCTCCCACATCTCTTCCCTCCCCGCTCCCCCACCCCCAACAGATGCTGCTTGTTTAATCTATGGCCGAATCTCCAAACTGGCACAGAATCTTTCGGACCTGAGTTGGTCAAATCGAATGGGGACAGTGATTCAAATCTCTGAATCAAATCATTGTCCTCCAAATTGGCCAAATCTGAATCCGAAGCAAATACTTGCCATTTCTCACAGGCCTACTATTTATAACATTTACCTGTTGTACCCTCCAGTGATATGTTCAAACCTTAAAAACTGTTGGCAGTCTCACATATCAATGGATGTCACTAACTACTGTCCTCTCTACTGGAGCTAATTTCACCTTTGCAAATAATCTTCACCTTTTGCCTAAATATGAAGGCTGAACATGTGCAGTCAATTGTAAGCAGGGTGGGTCATTTCATTCCAAATCCTGCTTGTGGCACACTAGAAAGTTGCAAACCTGTGGCCCTTTCTGCAGTGGGTACCGTCTCTTCAACACTTTTTACTAACCCTAAAGGACATTTTGAAGAGAGAAAAACAATTTATGTTTGATTTAAGTCACGTATATCTTTTACCGTTTTCTATAGAACGACTTCCTGCATTTACTAATTATTGATTATATTTATGCTTTCAAAAGAACTGAACCCTTCCAACTCATCATTTCTTGTGACTTGATCTGCACTTAATACTTGTTCTGTGTTTCTGGTTGCTGCCGAACTAGTCACAATTTTCCACGGCTTCCTCCTCATTTTAGCACTGCCACTCTGTTGTTGGAATTAAGGCTGAGCTGGGATTTATGTACAAATGCCCTGATATCAGTCATTCACAAACATAGGCACATTGGATTGTAAGGCTACCTGGGCTATTGAGTCCTGTCCCCTGCATTTGCAGATCATCATTTACCCCATGAGTGACTGGTGCCTCCTGAATCTGGGGGGGGCACCCACAGAAGCTGTCGATGGCAATGGCCCTGTCAGGGGGGGCACCAGCCCTACCAAAAGTATCAGTTTCAGCTCTTGGTGGGGGCACATGCACCCCCGTGCACGCCCTACCAGTCACCTATGATTTACTCACAGATTCCCAAAAACCACCATTTCAAACCCTCACACAGAAATACAAGGCAGAACACCTATAACATTTCACAGGTAAAAAGCAGGGGAGATGAAGGTGCTACCAATGTCCTGCCACTGCAACAACAGGGAAGTAGTTGGTTAATATTTGATCACAAAAGGAAGAACATATACTCTGCAGAAGAGTAGCATGCTTTGAGGTGCAGAAGAAAACAAAGCACCAACACAGTCCTTTCCAATCTGACTTGAGGGAAAAATTCCTTCCTGGGAGAAAAATTCCAAATTTGTCTGTTTGTATGACCCTGAACAGAAGAGCAAAATCCTTTAATTAGGAACTTGTAAATGTTCTACATACCAGCAGACATATCAGCACACCGCAGTCAAAAAATTCCAGCCTTAACTGTAGCCAAGATGCAAAGCCTACTTGTGTGGGCAGAAGGAATGCAAGCAAAGTGTTTTGGATCTAGAGACAGTGTTAAAGGTACTAGGATAAGCAGAACTAGAGGGTGTGTACAAAAGTTGCTTTTTTCACCATTTAAAGCATTTTATTGCCGTGACTTAACAGAGGTGCATGGCTTTATAAGCACTTTAAAAGCGGGTACAGCACTTTAAATTAACCCTTGTTAAATTAGGTATTAAACTTGATGTGCTGTACTTTATAGCACTTTAGCAAACTACAGCACTTAAATAACTTCTATACACTGGTCAAACTTCTGACCAGCAGAGAAGTCCCTGGAGGCTGCAGAGTGCCCCCTGCCTCCTAGCTTGGAAAGTACACAGAGGCTTAGAGGCCCCCACCACAAAACACTGTACTTCTGTCATGTTTAAAAGTGCTGTAACTTTATAGTGGTATAAAAAGTGTTGTAAATTACGGTGCTGTAAAACCTGCACGGAGCACTTCTGTACACACCCAGAGTCTTTATAGGGGAATGGTCTCCTCACCAACAAGTATAGTAGATAACTGTAAGATAATGGTGACTTCTGTTCATCTACTTTTACATGTCACTAGCCAACATCAGAGCAGTAAGTTGATATAAACAGACATTTCACCTACCTGAAACCTTGCTACTATGCAAAGAATAAAACGGTCAGAAAAGATGAAGCTGGTGACATCCTGGTGGCAGGGGTATGAAATACGAGTGTAACTATGCAGTAGCATCCCCAAACAGTTTCTTGGTGACACTAACTGTGCGTTAGCTTGTTACTACTGCACAGTAGCTTGTTACTACTGTGCAGTAGAATCGCATCACGCTTCATGTCATGTGATTCTACTGTGCAGGAGTAACGAGCTACTGTGCAGTCAGTGTCTCATGTAGATGTGGCCACTGACTCTGAAAAGTATTATATCTTCCAGCTTTATCAAAGACTGGTAGAAAAGGCAGAAATCATGAAAAAATTACATTTTAATTTTTGAAATTTAGGTCTTCTGTCAGGTCAGGGCATTAATTATAACATTTGTGAATTCTTTGTGGACG